GATCCCAGCCTTAGCCTACCAAAGCCAGATCTGGCCTGGGGCCTTGGGAGGGGCCTCACAAAATCCCAGGTAGGGGGATGGTATGGCCCAATTAGGGGAAGCTCACCACCACGTGGAGGTAGGATCTGGGGGCTGTCAGGCTGTCCTCTGGGTTCTCATGCCCTCTGGTAGTTGGAGGCCAGAGGGAGGCCAGAACCCAGCACTCTCTGGCAGTCTGCTGAGCTCCAAGCCCTCTATGTATTTTTAAAAATATTTTATTTATTATTTTTATGTGTATGAGTGTTAGGCCATCTCTCCAGCCCCCTATGTATCTTTTTGGAATGTGTGAATTAACCAATAAAAAGAGCATCTAGAAAGCATAATAAAATTCATATATTAGCTTACATTTATACAGCTAAAAACACTAAAACAGAAGGAACAAGGTTAACAAATAGTTTTTTAAGTAATTTTAATTATTTATTTATTATTTATTTTAACTTTATGAATATTTTGTCTGTATGAATATAAGTGCACCTGGGTCATGCAATGTCCGCAGAGGTCAGAGAGGATATCAGATTGCCCTGGAATTGGAGTTTAGACAGTCAGTCACCATGTGCGTGCTGGGAATCAAACCAGGGTCCTCTGTAAGATGCTGAGCCATCTCTCCAGCCCAAATAAGAAATTTATTTATTTATTTATTTTGGTTTTGGTTTTTGGTTTTGTTTTATTTTGGAATCAGACTCTCCCTATAGCCCCATATGACCTGGAACTCACTATGTAGACCAGGCTGGCCTTGAACTCCCAGAGATCCACCTGCCTCTGCCTCCCAAGTGCTGGGATTAAAGGTGTGCGCCACCAAGCCTGGCTTCCAAATAAGTAATTTTTAAAGAGAAACATTCCCAGTTTCTTCCTGGCCCTTAACAAAAGATTAACAAAGAAATGTATAAAATGTGGGAATTTACAACTGTAATCTTAATTCTATCAGAAAACAAATGTAGGATTATAAAAATAATCCTTTTTGAAGATTAATTTAAAAAATATTTTATTATTTTTATTTTATGTGTATGAGTGTATTGCCTGCATGTATGTGAGTGCACTGTGTCATGCAATGTGGTGGAGGTCAGAAGTGGGCATTGGAGTTCCCTGGAACTGAATTAAGGATGGTTCACAACTGCCATGTGGGTGCTGGGAATTGAACCCGGGTCTTCTGCAAGAGCAGTCAGCATTCCCAACTGCTTAGCCATCTCTCTAGCACCCAAAGTGAGGTTTAAATCTTCTGATTTTTAATAGTAAATGGTGTTCAAAGGTCAGCTTTGCCTAGTGAATGTCTTTTAATTATTTTGAAAGCATTTATTGTGAAAATTATGTATTTCCTTTGTTCATAATTTTCTCTTATTTGAGTTTGATCATATATGAATTAATTGAATAGCCTTTTGTGTTCACCAAACTGTCCAGTGTTTAAATCAGTGACATCTGCCCATCGTCGAAAGTATAGGCAGGCCTGTGTTTTCAAATCATCTGACTTGTCTGTATGAATATAAGTGCACCTGGGTCATGCAATGTCCGCAGAGGTCAGAGAGGATATCAGATTGCCCTGGAATTGGAGTTTAGACAGTCAGTCACCATGTGCGTGCTGGGAATCAAACCAGGGTCCTCTGTAAGATGCTGAGCCATCTCTCCAGCCCAAATAAGAAATTTATTTATTTATTTATTTTGGTTTTGGTTTTTGGTTTTGTTTTATTTTGGAATCAGACTCTCCCTATAGCCCCATATGACCTGGAACTCACTATGTAGACCAGGCTGGCCTTGAACTCCCAGAGATCCACCTGCCTCTGCCTCCCAAGTGCTGGGATTAAAGGTGTGCGCCACCAAGCCTGGCTTCCAAATAAGTAATTTTTAAAGAGAAACATTCCCAGTTTCTTCCTGGCCCTTAACAAAAGATTAACAAAGAAATGTATAAAATGTGGGAATTTACAACTGTAATCTTAATTCTATCAGAAAACAAATGTAGGATTATAAAAATAATCCTTTTTGAAGATTAATTTAAAAAATATTTTATTATTTTTATTTTATGTGTATGAGTGTATTGCCTGCATGTATGTGAGTGCACTGTGTTATGCAATGCAATGCCACCGAAGTCAGAAGAGGGTTCGGATTCCCCTGGAACTGGAGTTAAGGATGGTTTGTAACTGCCATGTGGGTGCTGGGAATCAAACCCGGGTCCGCTGCAAGAGCAGTCCATGCCCTTAACCGCTGAGCCATCTCTCCAGCCCCAAAGACTAATTTTTTAAATTTATATGTATATGTGTACCTGTGTATGCCACATATATGCAATGCCCACAGACACCAGAAGATGATGTTGGATCCCCTGAAGATGGAATTACAGGTAGTTATGAACCATTTGACATGGGTTCTAGGAACTGAACTTGGGTCTTCTGGAAGAACAGCAAGTGCCTTTTTTTTTTTTGGAGTCAGGCTTTCCCTGTAACTCCAGCTGGCCTTGAACTCACAGAGATCTGCCTGCCTCTGCCTCCCAAGTGTTGGGACTAAAGGCATGAGCTACCTCTCCCGGCAAAAGCCACTTTCTTATATATCTAAATACTAAGGTATTCCTCTGTTATTCAGTGTTAGACGATTTTACTGCCATTAGCACTACATATTTTAAGTAAAAATATACAACAAAAGAACAAGAATTCTATTTTTCTAAGCCTTTGTTATAATACGTAAGCTCTTTCACATAGGTAAAAAAAAACTAAAAAGTAAAACACCAATTAAACTTTAAGTAATGATTAGTGTTTTCAAACAGGAGACCACTATAATTTTGAAGTCAATCAACTTTCCAAAAATCTGTTAGTGCCAGCACTTGGGAGGCAGAAGTAGGAAGATCTTTGAGAGTTCAAGGCTAGCCTGGTCTACACAGTAAGTTCCAGGCCAGTCAGGACTGTAGAGTGAAACCCTGTCTCAAAAAGTAAAACATAAGAGGCTGGAGAGATTGCTCAGTGGTTAAGAGCACTGACTGCTCTTGCAGAGGACCCGAGTTCAGCTAACAAATGTCCGTAATTACAGTTCCAGGGGATCTGACATGAGCATTGTTAACACGTGGGTGCACTTACATGCATGTAGGCAATACACTCAAACACATAAAATAAAAATAACAAATCAGCCGGGTGTGGTGGCGCACGCCTGTAGTCCCAGGACTTGGGAGGCAGAGGCAGGCGGATCTCTGTAAGTTCAAGGCCAGCGTGGTCTACATAGTGAGTTCCAGGACAGCTGGGGCTACAGGGAAAGCCTGCTTCAAAAAGACAAAAAACAAAAAACCCCAAATCATTTTAAAAAATAAAGAAAAGAAAAGAAAAGAAAAGAAAAGCTGGGCATGGTGGCACACACCTTTAGTCCCAGAACTTGGGAGGCAAAGGCAGGCGGAGCTCTGTGAGTTTGAGGCCAGCCTGGTCTACATAGGGAGTTCCAGACCAGCTGGGGCTACATGAAGACCCCGCCTCAAAAAGACCAAAAAAAAAAAAAAATCTATTTAGTAAGCTCACCTGTTCTATCCAGTGTATCTGATGAGGCAAACTCAGGTTCTTCCAATTCTCTGGCATCTATTGAAAGTGTCTCAAAACCTTCACTCAGTGAATCCACAGACTCAGCATCATTGACGGCACCATTGACATGGTAACCATTGATGCCACCTTTCTCTGGAGGTACAGGCTGCTCCTCTTGAATGGACATCAATTTATTGGAATCTGGGACACTGCTGCTTGCTTCTGCTGCAGGTTTTGGTTTGCTTTTCTTCTTTTTGTTCTAAGGTTATTTAAGATAAGAAAACAGAAAAGAAAAAGCAGACCCCTCCAACACAACTCAAAGAGTAACTAACTCCAATTACCCAAAGGAAACCAGTGTTACCAATTTTGCATGTAAACTTAATATTTTTTAAAAATATTTTTATGTTGAACTAATGCCTAAAATTTTACTATGTAAATTTGAATGAACTCATATAAAAACATTTTAAAGCAAATTTCAAAGTGATAAAAAGTGAAAAACCATGTATAACTCTATTTTTGAAAAAATGAAACATATAAGCCAGCTGTGGTGGCACACGCCTTTAATCCCAGCACTCGAGAGGCAGAGGCAGGCGGATCTCTGTGAGTTCAAGGCCAGCCTGGTCTATATAGTGAGTTCCAGGACAGCTGGGGCTACGGGGAGACCCTGTCTCAAAAAGATCAAAAAAATAAACATATATAGAGCTATATAGAGCTCTAAAAAAAAAAAAAACCCACCAATACCCCAAAAGAAAAAAGTATAATCTATAATTGAATGAAGCATAACCTCTGTTTATTAAGAGACAAATAAATTAAACCTGTTCTGCAATAAGATTTTTCATACTAGCTTAGCAAAGATCAAAGAGTTTAATGATTTGTCCAGTCACTGATTCCATTCAACATAGACAGCTTTGAGTGTTCTAGAAATAGTCAGGCATTTTTATAATCACTAGCATGAGTGAAAAATCTAGCAATGCTTTTGAAAATTACAAATGTTGCTGGGTGTGACGGTGCACACCTTTAGTCCCAGCACTCGGGAGGCAAAGGTAGGCAGATCTCTGTGAGTTCAAGGCCAGCCTGGTCTACATAGTGAGTTCCAGGTAAGCTGGGGCTACAGGGAGACCCTGTCTCAAAAAGACCAAAAAAACAAACAAACAAAAAAGAGCACTGGTTGCTCTTGCAGAGGACCTGGGTTTGGTTCCCAGTACCTATATGGTCACAACAGTCCATAACTCCAGTTCCAGGGGATCTGATGCCCTCTTCTGACCTCCATGAACACTACACACACAGTGCACTTATATACATGTAGGTAAAACATCCATATGCTAGCTGGGTGTGGTGGTGCATGCCTTTAGTCTCAGCACTCCGGAGGCAGAGGCAGGCGGATCTCTGTGAGTTCAAGGCCAGCCTGGTCTACATAGTGAGTTCCAGGACAGCTGGGGCTACAGGGAGACCCTGCTTCAAATAGACAAAAAAAAAAAAAAGGAACAAAAATAAAATTAAAAAAATCTATATGCATAAAATTTTAGCCCCTTTAAACTTCGTTGTATATGTATTTTTATGTAACCTGCTTCAAGTTATTTCTGGGAACATGTGTTAAAAATTGCCTCTCTTTGGAATAATAAAAATATTCTTAAAAAAATTCAAAAACCGAAATAAAAACACAAAACTGTATTTTGGCTTTAAGTCCAAGCTTAGTACCACCAGGGACTATAACATAGTTGTCTGACCTCAAAATTTGAACTGTTTTAATCTACAACATGAATCTTGTTGGAAACCAGATTACTTTCTCTGGAGGCACTTTGCTTTGCTTGACAGGCTCTCTGGCTTCTACCCCTGTGTAATATTCCCTCAACCATGCATGGTAACAAACTGTGTAGTACTCTATAAGACACAGCTGTGTTTTACTGTTACGAATAACTTCTTTAGTTGGTAAACTGAACATGCAAACCTTCTCTGAAACATTATAGCATATGTGGGCAATATGGCTTCTGTCATCTCACTGATTGGCAAGGCTGGTGTCCCCCAGCTCCCTCATGGTTCCACACATGTCCTTCCCATATGTGTAGGTTAAAGAGGAGGACCTTCCCAGATAAAAGAGGACTGGTCTTTGGTCAAAGGTATTCAAGTAGCTACGCTCCTTTGCTAGAACCTCTCAAATATTACCAAATATTCTTCAAATATTTTGCAGAGCATAATTTTTTGAGTAATATAAATACCAATATTAGCTGGGCACATGCCTTTAATCCCAGCACTTGGGAGGCAGAGGCAGCTTGGTCTACATAGTGAGTTCCAGGCCAGCTGGGGCTACAAGGAGACCCTGTCTCAACAACCCCCGCCCCCCCCCAAAAAAAATCAATATTGTGTTCTTGAATTTAATTTTTACCTTTTTCTTGCCTGTTACTACCCATTCTTTGAGTACTTCACTGGCGCTACCTGGAAAAGAAATCAATTTCAGACTTCTACCACATACAAGGTCAAGCAGGAATTAGTGTCACTGCATTTCATAATCACTAGAATCAAGTAATGAGGCAATCACATCATGTTTATGCTCTGTGAGAGCCCTTTCTCCATGTAATTTTCCTGCTGAGCTTTTCCAAAAGATTAATGTAACCTGACCATTTTCAAGATTCTTTCACCTATACATTGTATTCAAAAATCAAAGATGACTGGCTTTCACCCAAGTGTGCCATCCTCTCCCCTCCTGATTATATACCATCTTCGCTATGGTGTCTGGGAGAGAGCTGCACACTACACCAGAACCAAACCTTAACATTATACAGAAAACAGATAATGACAGAGAAAAAAGCTTATAGTATTTAGACCTGTTTAAACTTTACTTGCAAATTCAGAAAACAGACACAGGGAGACCTAACTTGATACTATTGTTCAATGATCAAACAGCTTCAAATAAAGCTATTTTTTCAAACAAGTTGTGTAGAAAGAAGTTTACAAAATACTTCTCAACTCTATAAATCTGAAGTCTTGGGCAAGGCTGCCATTCTTTTTTATTTAACATATAGAAAACACAAGGAAACTGAACTCACACATTACAGTCAGTTGCTAGAGTCAAACTAAATGATAGTCAAACTAAATGATAGTACAGCTTGGAAGAATGTTGAGCCCTTGAGTTGGTCATTTGTTCTGGGTCACTGAGTCATTCCTTCCTATAAAGAGACTCCTAAATTATTTGGCCCCATTCCATTCAAATCCCTTATATCAGAACACTGTTGTTGTTTTGAGGGGAAAGATACTTTTTTTGGAGCTAGGGTCTCATTATATAGTATGAGGCCTAATCCTCAACATAGCCAAGGCTATCACAATCCTTTTGTCTTTACCTCTCAAGTGCTAGGATTACAGGCATACACCACCACAGCTGGTCTGATTTCTTCTTAAATGCCAGAAGAGAACATTTTATAAAAATAATGCAGTTTTCAGCCAAGCGTGGTGGCGCACGCCTTTAATCCTAGCACTTGGGTGGCAGAGGCAGGCAGATCTCTGTGAGTTCAAGGCCAGCCTGGTCTACATAGTGAGTTCCAGGACAGCTGGGACTACGGGGAGACCCTGTCTCAAAAAGACAAAAAAAAAAAAGGAGTTTTCTTAGTTTGCATTATCTTCCAGTTTTCCTAAAGCCTATGAATGAAATAAGTACCTAACATTAACAAAATGTCATGGTATGCTATGTTATCATGAGAGTACTAGATCACCTACGAAACACTGTATTGCTCCGTGTTCTAAAATTCTAAAGCAACTATAGAACTGATACAAACTTATTAAAAACTGAGATAGGATTACCTTCCATGAATGCTTGTACTGTTTTGTCCACACAATTATCAAAGTGCTGCAAAACTAGGATGATTTCATTGTTGCTTTTATTAGGAACTATTGCGCGCACTGCATTTACCTGGAAAAGATGACAAGATCGTTTAATTCTAACATGAGTAGGTCAACGGGTGCTGAAGAGTATCAGGAGAATTACAGTGTCATTTCACTTTTAAAAATATTATCACTCTTTAATGTCAGAACACATACAATCATCTCCTGGGAATAATAAATAGATAAATGATAACATAAAATTTTAATTTCAAAACTTAAGCAGAACATTTACAGAATTAGAATGGGGTTGGCAAGAGGGTTTAGTGGATAAAAGCATTTACAGAGCAAGTCTCAGGATCTGAGTTCAGCCCCCACACTGGAAGGAGGGAACTGAGTCCCAAATGTCCTCTGACCTCCACGCAAGCACTCTTTAAGTCACACATCTGCACAAGCATACACATACACATACACACGTGCATGCACACAAGGTCTCCCTACAGTCACTGCTGGCCTGGAACTTACTATGTAGAACAGGCTGGCCTTGACGCCTGCCTCCCGAGTGCTGGGATTAAAGGCGTGTGCCACCATGCCAGGCAAACAAATTTTTTTAAAGATTAGAAGTACAAGATTACATATTAAGAAAGTGCAAGTACTTAAGATGTGGTGACATACATCTGTAATTCCAGTACTTGGGAGGTAGAGACAGGAGGATCAGGAGTTCAAGGTCATCCTTGGCTACACAATGAGTTTGAGGTCAACATGGGCTACATGAGACCCTATCTCAAAAAAAAGGGTAGCTTAATTTAGGTACCAGGTTATTAATTTAGAACCAACAGTTCCTCACTATAAGCATACTATAGGGAAAGTGGAAAATTTAATAAACCACTAACCGTAATAACTTAGTTTTTTTTGTGTCTACGTGTTGGGTATGTGAGTGGGTGTTGTAGACACTCACATATATGTGTGGGTGCTTGCACTTCTGTACCTGTGTGAAGACCAGAGGATGACAACATCCTGCTCTATCACTCTCCACCTTACTTTCTGGAGCTAGGCTGGCAGCCAGCAAGTCCCAAGGATCCTCATGCTCTACCTACCTACCACAGTGTTGGGGCTACCGCCATGCCCAGCCCTCTAGTGGGCTCTGGGGGTTTGAATTCAAGTCCTCATGCTTGCAAGTAAGTGATCTTACTTGCTGAGCCATCTCCCTAGCCCCACTTAAGTTTTTATACAGCACTATTCAAAACATCCTTACTCTGTATCATTTAGTTGTATAAAAATTCTACAAAGATAATGTACAGAGACAATTTGAATTATTATAAGCTATTTGGGGCATACAAAACATAATGAACAACTAGCAATAGTCAGGTCAAAACACAAAGCAATTGCAACTGAAGCCCAATGAACATCTATTTCTTCTCTCTCCAGAGATTTCTACCCAGAATTTGATGTCATTTCAATACATTTGCATTTTCATGATGTGCATATATATACAGGCAATATATGTTATTTCTATGTTACATAAATATTTTATCATGCATGTTTATTTTCAATTTGCTTTCCCCCCCACATCTTGATTTGCACATCTGTTATTCATATATTTTAACTGTTAGATGGTATTCCCATTGCATGATATACCTAATTTATTCATTCTCCAGTTGATGGACAATTACTGTTTCCAGTGTTTGGTAATTAGGAATAATGCAGTACTGAACATTTTTTGTTTGCTTACAGTGCTGGGGATTGAACTCCAGGCCTCATTCGTGCTTCATAAGCAAGCACTCCACTACTGAGCTATACTCTTAGAACATACTCTTACGTTTTATTTGCTGTTGAATCCTTAGTGCCTAGAGCAATATTTAGAACGATGTAATAAACAACCGAAATGACAACAAAAAAAATCAGGTCTTCTATGTACCAGAGCCGCCTGAGGAAGCAGAGTACTGAACATCAATGGTTCATTAGATGATGCCAAACCGCTTTGAAATACATATGACAATTTTGCCAGATTTATTCTCAAAGCATTTCATATTTTTTAATTAAAAATGTATACTTTATAATAACTGAATATTTGTGTGTACATGCATATTCATGTGTATGTGGGTACATGTGTGTGGAGGCCAGAGGACAACCTCAGGTGCCCAACTTTTTATTTTGAGACAGGCTCTCTCTGGCCTGGAACTCACCAAGTAAGATAGACTGGCTGGCCAGTGAAGCCTGGGGTCCACCTGTCTCCACCTCCCTAGCACTGAGTCCCAAGTGTGCACCCACTATGCCTACCTTTTTTTAAAAAAACAAAACAACAAAACATGGATTCTAGGCTTGCAAGGTTAATACTTGAGCTGTCTCCCCAGCCCAGAATATTTTATTATTATGTATCTATTTTATAGTTTGCAATTTCAATGAACTACTTTTTTGTTTTCTTTTTGTGAAGTCAGGCCTTGTACTTCATACGAAGCCCAGGTTGGCCCCAAACTCAGATTTTCCTGCCTCAGCCTTTCAAATACTGGGATTACAGATGTACAGTACCATGCTTGGCTTAAACCATGATAAATTCTTTATTACTTTTATGTGTATGAGTGCACTGCTTGCATGTGTGTAACTGCACCCAATGCCCATGGAGGTCAGAAGAGGGCCCCAGATTCCCCGGAACTGAAAACTGGAGTTACAGACAGTTGCTAGCCATCATGTGGGTGCTAGGAATTGAACCTGGATCCTCTGCAAAGGCAGTCAGTGCTCTTAACCTCTGAGCCATCTCTCTAGCCCAACAAAATACACTCTTTTTTACTCTTTTTTTTTTTTTTTTTTGGTTTTTTTGAAACAGGGTCTCCCTGTAGCCCCAACTGTCCTGGAACTCACTATGCAGACCAGGCTGGCCTTGAACTCACAGAGATCTGCCTTTTTTTGGTCTTTTTGAAACAGGGTCTCCCTGTAGCCCCAGCTGGCCTGGAACTCGCTATGTAGACCAGGCGGGCCTCAAACTCATGGAGATCTGTCTGCCTCTGCCTCCCAAGTGCTGGGATTAAAGGTGTGTGCCGCCATGCCCAATAAATTATTAGTCCTATTAATTTTTTGTTTTCATGGATTTTTCTGTGTAGATAATTGTATTATAATTGGGTTTTCAGAATCTGTGTTAGAAGTGACCTTTTTTATACACTTGCTTTCCCATCAGCCTTTTCTTTTGGTCTTTACTGAATAATGTTACCGTTTAAAATCATACAAGTGGGATGTTATGTACTCTATCACCCAAAGTGGGTAAACTGCAAACATTTCAGATGAGCAAAAACCTTAGCATTCATTCCTTAAAAAAAAAATGGACATTAGTAAAAACATACAAATTGTATGATAAATCTTAAGATTCTGGTAACTTTAAATGCCAATGTGTTTACAACAGTGAACACTGTGAATCTATGACTTGTAATCAATAACATAATTTTTAAAAATAAGACAAATCAGGGATGATGGAGGGTGCTTGTAACCTGAGCACTCAAAAGACTGAGGCAGGAGGATCAAGAGTTCCAAGCCAGTCTAGGGGGAAAGAGGACAGCACATAAAAAGCTTCTGTTCTTTGTTTTTTTAATACAACTAGATATAGCTTATAGTACTGAAAATATCTATTTTTTTTTTTTCCAAAGGGGTGCCACTTAAAAAGAAAACCTACTGCTATTCTTGCTGAAAAGTCTCCCAGACATAAGACTGTAAGAGCCGGGGTCGTGGACGACCATAAGGAAACAAAATTTTCCAGGCAACTGAGAAGTTGCTCATGTGAACTTACAGCAATGGTGACATCATGCACGAGACCCATGCAAGCTCAAACCAAATAAAAAAACACTACATACAAGCAGGGAAATGGGTAAGAAGCCCAACCTTAGCTGAAGAACTATTGGCAACCGATGTCTATTGCAATAGGGAGAGTTGGTTTTCTTTAAGGGAGTGACACTGGATAGGCTGACCAGCTCTGGTCGATGGACTCACATTACGGGACGTTAAGGGACACAAATATGGCTCAAAAAGCCTTTAATTTGTATGACAGAATTCATGAAATCTGGTAGAGGGGTTATGGGGGTGTAGATGAAATTTGAAAAAGTTCAATTGAAAAAAGAAAGAATGCCGGCCAGGTATGGTGGCGCATGCCTTTAATCCCAGCACTCGGGAGGCAGAGGCCAGCCTGAGTTTAAGGCCAACCTGGTCTACATAGTGAGTTCCAGGATAGCTGGGGCCACAGGGATACCCTGTCTCAAAAAGACCAAAAAAAAAAGAAAAAGAAAAAGAAAGAATGCAGCCAGGCATGGTGGCGCACGCCTTTGCAGGCAGATCTCTGTGAGTTCAAGGTTAGCCTGGTCTACATAATGACTTCCAGGACAGCTGAGGCTACAGGGAGACCCTGTCTCAAAAAAAAAAAAAAAAAAGAATGCTGCATAATTAGGGACTGGGATATGATTTCAAGGTAGAATGCTTGCCTAGTATGCACAAGGTCTCAGATTTGATTCTCAGCATCACAAAAATAAATAAGTTTTTTAAAAAAGAAAATTGCTCAATAAGATATACTCTCAGTCATATGAATATCAGTAATAATATTAATACTGAATGTCTTCAAAGAATTTAGAGCGAACACATATGCAGATATGCAAAGGAAACCATCTTTGCACATTTATACATTTTAATAGGTTCTGGTATATAGCTTTGTTCCTACGATCTCATAATGCATTTGTGATAGTCACCAATTACATTAATAAATTTTCCTATGGCATTCAAATTCACTATTCATAGTAGTTAGACTTACCTTCTCTTTCATGTTCTCAAAAGTTCCTCCCTGGGCCAGTACAGTATTGGACTGCAAATCAAATATGAATCCTGATGAATCTGAAAGAATGTAAAGGAAGAAATATATTCAATCTTACATAAACTATATATCCTGTCCCCAAGACAGAAAGGCCTAGACTGGCTACTTTTTTCTCATAAAATAATTAGCAACAACTTAATTATTACTTGGCAAATTCTATTCTATAGCCAAGTATCCCCTTCTAACTACATTTTTAGTTAATCATAAATGAAATTTTATTTATTTTTAATATTAAAATTATTATTTCTATGTGTATGTGTATATTGCCTGCATGTAGGTAAGTGCACCCATGTCGTGCAATGCCCGCATAGGGCAGAAGAGGCTGTCGGATCCCCTGGAACTGGAGTTACAGACAGTTGTTAGCTGCCATGTGGGTGCTGGGATTTGAACTTGGGTCTTCTGCAAGAACAGCCAGTGTTCTTAACCACTGAGCCATCTCTCCAGCCCGGAAATTTTCTTTTTCAAAGTAAGCATATATCTTGAGGAAAACAGTAACACACCAACTATATTAGAATATCCTATAATCCCTAATTTCTTTCTTATTTATCCTATCTTAATTTATACGTCACTCTAAAAATGTAAGCAAGTAGCTCCCTATGGTAATTTGAGTGGGGATGGAAGCACCTGTAATTAATAACACATAAAAGTAACTGCTGTCGGGGCAGTATCTTAAACTATTATTCAAAAGAAGGATCAAGTAGCACTTAAACACACTCAGTACGTTTAAGTCTGAGTCTTCCAGATGACTACATAATACGGTTAGTTCTCAACTATCTTTATCAACTGCAAGGAGATGTGGTATAGAAAAATGAAGATTTTATGTAGCAAAAGCACTATCATCTAGAACCTTCTTGGACTCTCAGGTAAGTCAAATGATGTAACTCTAATGTTCTAGTATACCCCACCCCCACCAAAGAATTATCAATAAGCAGTAGGATGACAGAAAAGACATCATTAGAGATTCAAACCATCAATCTCTTCTAGGAAAGAAGGGACACAGCAAAATAGCATCTTAGAATCTACATTTAAGGAAGTATTATCACCAGTCTCATAATTTTTTTTCCCTTTAACAACACACCAGTAAACACAACCTGGAGAGAAAACAAAAGGCAGCTCTGTATTTAGCTATTTTCCCAAACTAATTATCATAAATATTATTAGTTTACCTAGCATAGTACTTAGCACAATTAGTATATAAAGCAGCTGGGCTGTGATGGTACAAGCGCTAGGTGGGTGAACGAAAGAACAAGAAAAGGAGGCAACAAATTCAAATGGGTAAAATCTGAGATGTTTAAATAGAAACTACTCTAGAACGTGCTACTAGAGCATCTCCTAGCTAATAATAAATGCAGCATCCTTCTCTACCCCCAGGTCCAAGAGTGTGAGGAGGGAGTAGCTACCGGAAGCCACAGACAGAACTGGCTGTTTCATCTTTCATTTTGTAGGGAGTGCTGGGACCACTACGATACTTCTTTTCCTAACCTCCCCAATACCTCAAGCAGAGTTAAACTTCAATGAACTGGAGCATAAGTGCCTCTCAACATTATAAAGAAGTGATTTTTAATTTCCACCAGCAATAATCAATAACTTATTTTCTCAAGAAAAAAGCCTGATATTTATTTAATTCCATTGGCAGAAAACAAATTAGAAGCTGGGGAGATAGCTCTATCAGTAAAGTGCGTGCTATACAAACACAAGAGCCCAAATTTAGTCCCTAGAACACAGTGGCTTGCACTTGTAATCTCAGCACAGAGACAAGCAGACCCTTGAGGCTTGCTGGCCAGCTAGCCCAGCCTAATCAGTGAGCTACAGACCAATAAGAGACTGTCTCAAAAAACCAAAGTTCATGGTTCTGAGGACCAACATCCAAGGCTGACCTCTGACCTTCATAAGCATATGAACCCACACAGAAAGAGTTAGAATTTCATATTTGCATTTAGCTACGACAGGAGAGCATGTATTTTGTTTATTTAAGCCATGGTCCTCCTGCCTCCACCTCCCAAGTGCTGGGATTACAGTGTGCACCACTGTACCCACTTTATGTGGTCAGAGGTCAGCCTTAGACGTTGTTCCTCAGAACAATGAACTCCAAAATTTGGAATTAAGTATTAGACCTTCTTTTCACGAGAAAAAAATCAGTTAAGGTACTAATTATTGTTGATAGAAATTAAAAATGACTTTTTTCTGATTTTTGTTTTGAAACAGGGTCTCCCTTTAGCCAGCTTGCCTAGAATTTGCTATGTGGACCAAGCAGGCCTTAATCTCACAAAGACCTACCTACCTCTGCCTTGCTACAACACTCGGTTAAAAACTACTACTTTATGTTAGGCAAGCACTTTACCAGCTTAACTACCACCTCTCTATCCTGAAAGTATGCCTTCTATCAAGTAGCACTTGTTTCCAGAGGCAAATTTTTAATTTTTTAATTAGCAAACATTAACTGTACATGATAATGGGTTTCACTGTGACATTCTCATGCATGTACATAATGTTTGAATCATATTCGCGTATCTTGCTAACTTCTCTTCTCTCCCTCCTGCTTCCACTGGTCCCCTTCCTCTCCCCAACTAGTACATCTCAGTAGGATTGCAATAGGAGCGTAGGAACCTTGCCAGTGACTGAAGAAAATTTCCTGTCTCTCAACAACCACTCCCTCTTCAGGAAGGGCGGAGCCCCATGAGCCCCTCCCTCACCTGTGACGGTATGACAGTCCCCATCAGTATGACGGTCCCCATCGTGGGCAGATCTTGTGCAGGTTGTCACAGCTGCTAGGGATTCAAGAGTGCAATGACCACATCATGTGCAGAAGTCATCATTCTACCACTCCCGTTCTTCCTCCAGATCTTACATTCTTTCTGCTTCGTCCTCCGCAATATTCCCTAGGCCTTGCAGGTGGTGATACAGAGACCCCACTTATGGCTAAGCACCCAAAAGTCACTTATTCTCAGCACTTTAACCATTATAAGTCTTCAAAGATAAATTTTTAAAAACTATTATTTTTAAAATATTTTTATTTTTACTTTATGTGTATGTGTGTATTGCCTGCATGCAGGTAAATGCACCCATGTCATGCAATACCCACGGAGGACAGAAGAGGCTGTCGGATCCCCTGGAACTGGAGTTACGGACAGTTGTTAGCTGCCATGTGGGTGCTGGGATACAAATCCAGGTCTTCTACAAGAACAGTCAGTGTTCTTAACTGCTGAGCCATCTCTCCAGCCCCTTATTTATTATTTTTATTTTAGTGTATGAGTGTATTGCCTGCATATGTGTAAATGCACCCATGTTGTGCAATGCCTGGGTAAGTCAAAAGGTGTTGGGAGTCCCCTGAAACTGGAATTACAGACAGTTGTTAAGCTGCCATGTGGGTGCTGGGAATTGAACCCAGGTCCTCTGCAAGAGCAGTCAGTGCTCTTAACCACTGAGCCATCTCTGCAGCCCCCAAAGATAATTTTTAAAAAAAATTTTTTAATTATTTGGCCAAGAATTTGTTTTCCAGTCTTGTTTTTTTAATTTTTTTTTTTGTTGTTGTCTTTTTGAAACAGGGTCTCCCTGTAGCTAGACCAGGCTGGCCTCGAACTCACAAAGATCTGCCTGCCTCTGCCTCCCAAGTGCTGGGATTAAAGGCGTGCGCCACCACACCCAGCTGTTTTTTTAAAAATTTTTTAGTATTTTATTATTTTTATTTTATGTGTATGAGTGTATTGCCTGCATGTATGTGAGTGCATCCATCTCCTGCAATGCCGTGGAGGTCAGAAGACGGCTTCGGATTCCCCTGGAACTGGAGTTAAGGACAGTTCATAGCCATCATGTGGGTGCTGGGAATTGAACCCGGGTTCTTTGCAAGAGCAGTCAGTGCTCCCAACTGCTGAGCCATCTCTCCAGCCCCCCAAAGATAAATTTTTAAAGAAAGAATTTGTGTTAACTATTGTTCTCAAAGATTCAAATAAGATATGAGGACTCTTCAAATTTAAGACTCTCTCCCTCCCTCGCTCCCTTCCTTCCTTCCTCTCTCTCTCTCTCTCCCTGCCTCCCCCTCACCTCCATACTCAGGTGAGCTTTCCTATTATCATTTATTTTACTCTATTAGGAACTAGGAACCATCTTGGAATTCCTGAGATTATTTCAAATAGCACACATTAAAGAACATTTTAGAGAAAATGTTACTTAAAACACAACTGACATACTTGAAAAAACCCACAGGTTTCTTTATTGTTTTGTGGGCTTCAAAAATCAGGCAGACTAAGGAGTAGTATTTGCACTTGTAATCCGGGCACTTGGAAGGCAGAGTTCTAGGTCAGGCTGGGCTACACAGTGAGTTCCAAGTCAGTCTGGGATACAGAATAAGACCCTGTTTCAAGAAGAATGAAGGGAGAGAGGAAAGGGAAGGAGAGAGGAAAGAGGGAAAGGAAGGGAAAGGAAGGGAAGAGGAGGGAGGGGAGAGGAAGGGAGGGAGGGAGGGAAGGTAGGAAAAAAGAAATCAGGGAAAAGTTCTTTTAGGCCTGAGGATGACACAAAACCTAGAAAATAGGCGTTGGGGGTGGGGCAACTGGGACCTTGGTGTATCGCTGCTGTGACATACAATGAAACAGCTTCCAAAGGAAGCTGGATGGTGGTTCTGTAAGAGGTTACACAGAGCTACCATGTGATTCAACTCCACTTCTGGGTATATACACAGAGCTGAAAGCAGAACAACCACAAGTATACAATCTTGGAGCTGCAGAGATGGCTCATCCAGTAAGAGCACATGCTGCTCTTGTAGAAGACCCTGTCTCAAAAAGACCATATATATCTTAACATGACAGCAATGTAATTTATCAAACTGCACAACACTAAAAATATATACTATACGCCTACAATGCTTATGAAGTAGAAATTTTTATTAAAAATCCCATTGTTTGGGGCCCTATTCTAAGATATTAGCAAAACTAATATGAATATCCCAACATTCTCTGAAATACTGGAGTGAATTTGGTATGATTATTAATGTATTTCTTTTCATGGAAAAGCCTCTCTGTTC